CTACTACTACTACTACGATCAATTACTACTTACGACTAACTACTAATAATAATACTTACGACTACTACTACTACTACTAGTACTAGTACTACTACGACTACTACTACTACTACTACTCCTACTACTACTACTACTACTACTACTACTACTACTACTACTACCACACTACTACACTACTACACTACTACTACTACTACTACTACTACTACTACTACTACTACTACTACTACTACACCACTACTACTACTACTACTACTACTGTTTCTGCTACTACTGCTTACTTCTACTTACTACTTACTACTTACTTCTTACTACTACTACTTCTACTACTACTACTACCACTACTACTACTACCACTACTACTACTACTACCACTACCACTACTACTACTACCACTACTACTACTACTACTACTACCACTAAGACGACGACTATTACGACTACTACTACAACTACTACTAATATACTACTACTTCATACTACTACTTACTACTACTATACTACTACCACTATACTACTATCACTACTAATTTACTATCATGTTACGCGACGAGTACTACTACTACTACTACTACTACTACTACTACTACTACTACTACTACTACTACTACGACTACTACGGCTACGACTACAATTACGACGACTCCTACTACTACTGCTGAGACTACTGCTACGACTACGACTTACTACTACTACTACTACTACTACTACTACTACTACTACTACTACTACTACTACTACTACTACTACTACTACTACGGCCACTACTACTACTACTACTACAACTACTACTACTACTACCACCACCACCACCACCACCACCACTACTACTTGCGGTCTCGCGCGCTACATCACCACGGCTCGACCACGTTTGGACGAGCGTCCTGTGGCTGCCTCGTTGCCCGACAATGAGGCATGCACCAGCGCGCGGCGCAAAGCAAGGCGGAGCGCGAACCGCGGGCGGGCGAAGCTGCAGCGCGGTAGCCAAGGTGCACCAAGACAAACCTAGCCCCGAGCGCACCTCGGGAAGTGCAGCACGCGGGGCGACCCCAGCGCCGCCCGACCCCTGTAGTTCCGGAGGCACCAAGTGAAAGGGCCTACAGCGGGCCACAGGATGGGGCAAGCCAAAGTGGCTGGTCACACAGCTGAAGTGCCGAAGGCACCGCGGGCGCGAGGCCAAAAACTCGCAGCCCCAGGGGCGGCCCCGGCACCACAAAGTAGCGCGGGGGCACGCAAGGGAGGCGCAGGAATAGCCTCAGCAAGCCACGAGCTGGAGCGCCAAAATGGCTACTAAAGTTGTCGCGGCACCGAGGCGGTGCACAGAGCCTGAGCAGGCGGGAGCGACTCACTCACAACGGGCCTTGAGGCCTCAGAGCCACTCGGTCTTGCCTCGGAGAACCTCAGATGGGGACGCACGGACCGTCCCTCCCCACTCGCTGCCCTCCACCGAGGGGCCATACAGCTCGGACTCGATGCCTGGCGGAGGGCCCACAG